TGCAGTAACAACAACAGCATCCCTGTATATAGAAAAGTGACACTTGGAAGTGAGGTAGAAATCTTTTTCTTGATATCTCATGTTCAAACAGAAGAGATTTGGGAGGGACATACTATGTAAGAGTCAGTCTTGAGAATTTATATTTACAGTTTGAATAATTTAGTGTCTCCTCGCGCCAACCCTTTTTGGGATGTTTTTTGCTGTCATGCTGAAGCATGCCTTTGGAACTGCAACAGAAGGTGTCTATCTCCGGACTAGAACAGATGGAAAGCTCTTTAATCTCTCTAGACTGAGAGCAAAGACCAAAGTCCAATTGAAATGCATGCAGGACTTCCTCTTTGCTGATGATGCAGCCCACTCTGCTGAAGACCTTCAACAACTCATGAATCATTTTGGCATGGCCTGCCAAGACTTTGGACTAATAATCAGCCTGAAGAAAACACAAGTCATGGGCCAGGGCTTGGACTCACCTCCCTCTATTACCATCTCCACGCAAAAATTGGAGGTTGTTCATGACTTTGTGTACCTTGGCTCAACAATCTCTGATTGTCGAGCTGGATAAACACATTGGTAAAGCAGCTACCATGTTCTCAAGACTCTCAAAGAGAGTATGGCTTAGAAAGAAGCTGATGGCATATACCAGGGTCCAGGTCTGTAGAGCCTGTGTCCTCAGCACAGTCCTGCACTGCGGTGAGTCCTGGACCCTTTGTGCATGGTAGGAGAGGAAGCTGAACACATTCCATATGCATTGTCTCTGACAGATTTTTGGTATCACCTGGCAGGACAAAGGTCCAAAGAGTAGTCCTAGAACAAGCTGGAATTTTTAGCATGTATACATTACTGAAACAGCAATGTCTATGTTGGTTTGGGCATGTTGTGAGAATGGCTGATGGTTAGATTCCAAAAGAACTCCTGTATGGAGAATTACTGAAGGGAAATCGCCCCAGAGGGGGAGACCATAGCTGCGATACAAGGATATCTGCAAGTGGGATCTGAAGGCCTTAGGAATGGACCTCAACAGATGGGAAACCCTGACATCAGTTGGGAGGCAGGTGGTGCATCACAGCCTCTCCCAATTTGAAGAGACCCTTGTCCAGC